TGGCCAAGTCAATAGCTGAAAAGATTCTTCCAAAGAGAAAGTCCAAAAAGAAGGTGAACGTTGTCCAAGCCCAAGCTAAACTTCTTTCTCTTGCAGAAGCTGAGCACGAGAAAAACCTGATGCTGGCTGAGCGGGACAAGTGCTGGAGTGAAGCAAAGCTAAAGAAGAGAATTAGTCCTCACCCAATCAAGGGCGTCAGCATCTGCGAACGATCCAAAGACGGTGGAACTCTTGTCTCAATGCTCATCACCAGGGAAAATCTCGACGCCGCACCGAGTACCCTTCCTACCTTAGCCACTATGGATACAGCGAATGGCTGGAGATCAGACAAGCCATTCAGCAATTCAAGTCAAGACATAAGCCAATTATCGATGACATCATCAATGATCTCATCAAAAAGATGTCCAGGTATGTCGCAGTCCCTGACAGCCCATCTTTGAAGAAAGGTGGAAGGAAGAAATGACCCTCTAGTCCTAATGATGGACCATCCCTGAGAAACAAACATGAAACAAGGTTCTCCTTAGATGAAGTCCTGAAAGAACATGAGAGTATAGACATTTCTATGTTGAATCTTGATTTTCCAGAGAAGGGTCCCTATATACCCAACTCTGTGCACTTCAAACCTGAGTTAGGAGTTATATTCCACTATGAAGGTGAAATAAGATTTCATAGAATGTCTGAGCTTCATCTATGCCCAATGGGACATCTGATTTATCTAATGTTCTGGATAGATGAAAGCCTGCAAGGAAAAGTCGTGGACTGAAAGATACGAAGAGAGTTCATACGTTGAAAGAACCTTGGTGAAGATGTACCTGGCTACATAAATCTGAGCTTCCTAGACTAGTTTGTCTTTCTTTGTAATATTGTTCACATTTTCTTTTGTAAATCTATTTACTATGTCTACTTTCAGTGATTAATCTTATAGTCTGTAAGCATTAGACATGTACTGAACAACTTGTAATATTTCTAATGAATATAATATAAGTGTTTATTGTACTTCACTGAAAAAGATCACTGAAAAAAGTAATAGGAACACAAGTCTATGAGTTCTAGTGTTACTTTTCACATTCATTGACATTATATAAGTCAGTGAATAAGCTTTCAGTTTCAGTTTCTATTCTTGTAACTTTTCTTAAATATGACTTAAGAAAATTTTTCAAGTAAAAACTGACTCACCGAAAAAGATCCCAAAATAGTTAAAAGGGACATGTATTTTTCATGTTACTTTTTCTTACTATTAGTTGTTAAGACAACTTTCTTTATGTTGTCTTGTTATCATCAAAATAGGGGGAGATTGTTGTTCCTCTCTCTTAGTGATTTGATGATAATCTCTTTTACCCTATGCGAAATATTTATGTTTCTGTCTTTTCAGTTCCAACGATCTGCATTGAGTATGTTCAGTGATCGCTGAAGAACTTGTATTGTAAATCCTATCAGCGACAACAATACTTCAAGAAGACAACACTCACACCAAAGAACCTTCAGCAAATGTTAAAGACTGAAACTAAAGATTAGAGACTGGCGAGTACGTGATCTGAAGCGGTATTCAATGATTATGAGCCTGTCTATATATGTGTGAAGACTGCCCAAGCCTCAGCGAATGCTGAAGAGACCTTCAGGTTATTCCAGCATTTAGCGATCAAATGAAGCTTGCTAAGCACGATTGTTGTTGTCTTGTTCTTATACACACAAAAGACAAAGCCATACCCTTTCTAAACGTTAGTACGGTATGGAGCCGATTAGTTGACTCTATTACCCACCAACTTTATGAAAGGATGTTTGTTCATGAATAGGCTTTTATCCTATTCACTGTAGCAAAGGACAAGCCTTTCCTTTAAGGCTTGACACGCGTCTAACCCTACCACGTTGCATTAAATGTGCATTTAATGCAACGGGTATAAATAGATGTGTTATATCTCCATGTAGAGATACTCTCTAACCAAAACCTTACTCTGAGCTTTCTTGCGCTTAAGTAAAAGAACACACATCTAAGAACAAATACGCTCATCTTCAAGAGCAAGTTCGAATCTCTTTCATTGTATCCTAAACAAGTTCTCTTCCAGATATAACTTACTTTCTTCTATTTCTTTAACAGCAAATTTTTTCTTATTTGCTAATATTAAGTGTGTAAACTTAAGATTGTTTAGATAGGTTTTTCTTACCTTATCTTTCCGTAAACAGTCTTATAAAATGTGTATTGATCTTCTCTTATCAATATATATTTTAAATTTGAAAATACTGTGTTTGTATTCATCCCCCCTTCTACAAACTGTTATACACATCTTGTAAACTCTAACGGGACCAACAAAAACAAATGGTAAATTGGTAAATTGTGTTGATTATTCAATTTACTTTAATTAGTTTAATATTCCAATTTACTTTAATTAGTTTAATTATTTTAATATACGTGTGTGTATATATATATATATACACACACATGGACACACAGGGACCGAATCCGGTGGCTTGCTCCGGCACCCACCACCACTCGGGTGACCTCCTCTGATCATCTTGTATGACCAAGACGCCATAGCCGATGATCGACCAAAAACACCACCTGCGACAGTGGTACCACAGTTGGTATCACAGTTGGTACCACAGTTAGTATCACAGTGGTCTCAAAGTTTAGTTGGTGTATTTTAGGTATCATATTGTATGTATTTTGGGTACCACATTGTGTATCTTGATTTATTTTGGGTATTACATGGTGTTCGTCGTACGCCTAAGGTAGGAGAGAGAGAGAGAGAAGAGAGAAAAAAAATATAAAAGATCTAAAATGCCCTTTAATTATAAT